TATATATATATATATAATAAAGAGTTATATACATAATTTAAATTATTATATTATAATAAAAAGGTTGATGGTGCTTTTTAAATGACCGATTAGTGCACTCCTACAAAAATTTCTGGCCCCACTAGTGGCGGCATCTTTTACAAATGAGGATCAAAACTATATATTTGCTTGGTGATGTCATTTGAATTTTTTTTTTTTTCATCTAAAATCTGTAACAATTGTATACCGTAAACTACTTTATAAAGCAATTACGTATAAATGTTTTTCTTTTCTATCTAGTGGGGTGTAATATGTTTTTAAGTTTATGAAATACTGTAAAGCATGAGAAAATATAATGAGCGGGGAGTCTGGATGTAAAATTAGGGTCAGGGCACCCATCCAAAGTTGACTAAGACATGTTCTATTTTTAAACTCATAAGTAATGAAGAAGCAAAACCAAGCCTGCCTAGTTATTGCATTTAAAATTAAAGAGCGAGGCTTTAAATTCTTCAACGCACATTTCAAATTTTTTATTCCATTTTTAAGGGTTTATGGTTTCTGATTTTATTCTTGCCACCCAACATTGTATTCATGGTTTCTCCTTTCTCTTTGTCACCTAACATTCAGTTTAGGCTCCTTTCTTTCCTTCACCCGTCATTCAGTTTGGGGCTCCTTCTTTCTCCCCATCACCCAACATTCAGTTATGGGTTACATATTGGTTAGTTTCAATATACAAGGCAAGACAATTGATTGGCTCATCTTCTTTTTCTTCCTGGGAAAGCTACATACACACATATGTTTAATCACAATAGCCAATAAACATTGTCTGGGTCTGAAAAACTTTCTGATTAATTTTTTATAAGATTGTATGAATCATATGTGAATTTTTCATCTATAGAACAGTGTTGTACTATAGCTTTTCTAGAGTACAATCAGGCTGAATTAGTTGTACCCTAATCTTTTTAATTTATTTTTAAACAGGGTGTAGGATAGTCTTTATATATTTTTCTATAGTACAACCAAATTGTACTTTAGATTTTGTTGCAACACACACACTATGAACAATTTTTATAGCAAAAGTATTTTGATTTGTTTTATAAATCTTATAGATTTGCTATTATATATTTTATAGAGAAGTATAAATGCATTTTTTTGTAGTGTAATATGGTTGTACTATGATTGTTTTTAACTTATTGTACACCATATGTTGGCATAACAAATATAATAAGAACATAATCGTTGATGAAAGACCTCAGTCATTTCTCACTAAAAGGTTTTTAGGTTAGTCTAGATGTATCACTACAAAAATTATGAAAATTTGTGTCGGACATATCTGATGTAAAAATATCTACTAATTACACTGACTGTATATGATAAATTTGGATGAGAATATACCCTAACATACAAGAGAGATCCCACTATACTGGAATATGGAACTCGAGACATATTCAATATCATCAAGCTGATGAAAGTTTGGAATGCATAGCTAATTGAGTACTAATAGGCATGATATTCTGCATATTATATTTATACAGAACTTCTCCAACATATCCTTTCCGACTTAGAAAAAATGTTCTTACATTTCTATTTCTCTGAATCTCCATGATAAGTATTTTCTTTGCAGCTCCTTAATTTTTCACCTCAAGAGTCATTGCTAAGTTGAGCTGTTAATGCCTAGATATCTTCTTTATCCTTAACAGCTATCAACATTTCATCGCCATATAAGAGCATGTACATAAATATTTCTTTAATATTTTTCTTAAAATAAACCCAAAATTTATTACTACTTCTCTTAAACTAATGAGCAATCATGAATGAGTCAAATTTCTTATACTTTCCTATGAGATTTGTTCAAATCATAAAAAGATTTCTTCAACAAAGAAATATGGTCTTCCTTTTTTTGTAATCATAAAGCCCTCGGGGTGCTGCATATAAATGTCCTCTTTAAGCTTTCATGCAAAAAAGTAGTCTTTATTTCTATCTGCTCAAGCTCAAGTTCATGCTTAGCTACAATGCTAAGTAAAGCTCAAATTGAGCTATGTTTGACCACTCAATTGAGCTATGTTTGACCACTGGAGAGAATATATCTGTAAAGTCTTTTATTGTCTTGAGGTAATTTTCCAAATCGCAAGTTCTACTTTTATGTAGGGATTCAATCTTTTCTTGCATAGCCATCATCCAATTTTTAGAGTCAACTAAATTCACAACTTCTCTAAAGTTAGAAGTTTCTTCACCACACTCGATACCTCTAGCTAAATTTAGAGCATAAAAAATAAAATCAGAGTCCCCGTACTGTTATGGCAGCTCAGTTTCACTTTTTGTTTTATCCTTAGCAATAAAATAGTGTGACGGTTGATGATGCGAAGGTGAAAAAACAACATCATCATGATTATCTAAATTTGATTCAGAAGTTATGCATGAGAATGTACATATATTATTCTAAAGCTCCACTTGTTTGCTAGACATTTCCTTCTGATCAAAATCTTTGATTTTATGATAGATGTTATATGTCATGTGATGTTATATGTAACATGACAAACTCATCAAATATAATAACAATATTAATGATTGCTTCTTAGATTTTTCGACACCATAACTTATAACTCTTAACTCTAATTTTATAAACAAGGTATGCATATTTTATAGATCAAGTCTCTAAATTTGCATTATTAATATGAGCATACCCGTCACTGTACAAAATTCTTAAATGAGAGTAAATTGTATATTTACCTAACCAAATCTCCTGTGAAGTCTTCTTGTCAACAACAATGAAAGGAGAGAGATTCTCCAAATAATATGCTATAGAAGTAGTTTCAGCACAAATTGACTTAGGTAGCTTGACATTGAAAAGTATGGAACGAATTATCACCATTATAGTCTTGTTCATTCTCTCTGTCACACCATTATGCTAAGGTGTGTGTTGGACTATGAAGTATCTCATAAATTCTTCTAATCTGTAGAAGACATTTAAGTATACTAAGCATTAAATTCCACTGAACAATAGTCTAACCCATTATCAATACGAAGATGTTTAATATACTTTTCAGTGTGCTTCTTGATGAAGATCATTCATTCCTTAAATGTAGTAAAAATATCACTCTTCTCCTTCAAGGAGAATACCAAAGTTTTCTGAATAAATCATCAATGAACGTCAACATATATTTGACATCACCTTCAGATGGTAATGCAGATTGTCCATAGAGTCATAATATATGTATTGTAGTATTCTTTGGTACTATGAATGCTTGTATTGAACTTAACTTTTTTCTGTTTTCCCATAACACAACACTCATTGAACTTCAATTTAATAATATTCTGAAAAATTTAGAAGTCTCATTCTGGTCAGTTCAGTCATCAAATTCTCACTCATATATCTAAGGCGTTATCTACCATAGTAGAGCCTTACAAACACAGTCTAGGAGTCTTCTTTTGTCCATTCATCCTAAAAAAGGAAACTTTGTTGACCTTCAAAAATCTACCCTCACCAAAGCACTTGTACCTTTTAGCATCAAAACTACTTAATGAAATTTGATTCCTATTCAGATCTAGGACACGCCTCTCATCTCCAAATGTTCTGATGACTCCATCAAACACTTTGATTCTAACAGTTCTGATACTGATTATCTTACAAGAAATATTATTGCCTATTAATATATGGTACCTTTTAACAATGCTTCATATATATTAAAAACTAATTCCTATTGGAACGCATGTAATGTGCATGTTGAATCAAGAACCCAATAATAATAAGATTCTCCATCGAAGATAACAGTGAGTTAACCATTATTAATAAATTTTTCAAAAGCACCGCTTCACTGAAATTATCTGATTGTTTGACTTTCTAAGTTAATGTTTCTTTCTTATTTTTTATTCAACAACTTGTAACCTTCATATTTGATGTGCCCATTTTTCTTACATTAATTGCATATTTTATCCTTATTTTTGGGTTTTGATCTACTCTCCGTATCAACATCAAAACCTATCTCCTGAGTTCTACCTCGAATGACAAGACAATAAGAAATAAGTTCATCCATAAGTTGTTTCATTTTCTTTTTTTTAAAAAAAAAAAATCATACATATACTTCATCTAGAGAAAGTGTCTCGCGCCCATGCAAGATGTTATCTCTAAACGTTGTATATGATGAAGGCAATGAGCACAACAAGATTGATGTCAAATCTTCATCATACTTCCATAATTTCCAAAATAAGAGATGATTAGCTTAAGAACAGTTATGTGATCTATAACCGATGCATATTCTATCATTCTCTTCGTGTATGAACACTACTTCAAGTGTAACTTACTGGTCAGACTTTTCATCACACACAATTGCTCTATTTTGAGTCACAATGCAATAACAATCTTCTTCTTCAAAACATCTTATAGAATTTAATTTGATAGATGAAGATTAATTTATAAAAGAGCATTTTGATCTTTACATTGCTTCTCCTCCAGCATCCATGGCAAGAGCATTTTTTTCTAACCCAAATAGTCAAACCATCTACACTAAGACAACTTGTATCTTAACCTGCAGAAAAAAAAAAAAACCTCTGATGTTACGATTTAAAAGATGGATATCATATTTATTTACGATTTAAAAGAGGGATATCATACTTTATTGTTGCCACTGTTGAAATCAAAACTTTTTTTTTGATACCACTTGTTATAATTTGACCTTGAATCGATGCAAAAGATAATAAAATAAATAAAAAGAACGTAATTCTTACATAAAAAACCTAAGATGAGAAAAATCACGGACGGACAAAAAAAATTCTATATCAAATAAGAGATTATAATTGAAGATTGTCATTTAAACAAAACAAAAGATGAGTATATATAATTTTAACAAGATCCTTTCAAAATAACTAAGTAAAAGAGAGCTAATAAAACAATAACACACAGCTTGTAATCTAAAAATTTTTATAAGCTTAATCTAATGGTTGAAAGCATTAATCTATGTGGTAACAATTCCCTTTTTAAAGCCTCAATTTGCATGCTCACAAATTCTCTTTCAAAACGTCAATCCAATGTGGTCATAAATTTCTTATGAGATGATAAACGAGACTCACAAAATTGGAGTCACATTTAGCACCGTTTAATCGAGCTAAGATAGATCATCTGAGAAGAACTTTTTATGGTGAAAATAATAACAATAATAATAAAGTTTTCATTAATGTTAATCATCAATTATATATGTTTCAAAGTTACAAAGGATAAAGAAGCCATCATCTCTACAAAGCTTATGGCTTGTGACGAACGAACACAGGTAAAATTGAACACTGCCTGTATCAAAGATCGTAAACATAGAAAGTTTGAACAGAAGCCAAGTTATCAACCGTTGTATGATAACAGTATACCCGTAGCAACTGAAAAGCTTCTCGCAAGCAAAGAATGGTTACAGCTCTTCTGAGGGTGGGGTTGAATCATTTAAACCACCCGCTGAATTCGAATCAATAAGCCGTACACAGGTTCGATCCATCTACTAGGTTACAGCTCTTCTGAGGGTGAGCTTATGGCTTCTGTTGGTCAATATTGTATTGGCGAACAAAATGAGCTTTCCTCGAGCAGAAATTATTGAACTTGTTTCAGAAAATGTCCCAACTGAATTATCAGGACACTAATGTCATCCACCGAACCTCGAGAAACAGATAGCTCAACAAGCTTCTTGCAAGCTGAGAGTGAAGATGGTCTCTGGGGATCCATACAGATAGGTCGAGCTACATCAATGGCCTCCTGGTTACTAACCTGAAAAAAAATAAACTTTTGTAAATTTCAATGCTCTCAAATAGAGAAAAAGATTTAGTTCTGTTTAACTCTAAACTAGAGAAAGGCTTCACCTTTTCCCAAAGGCCATCAGAAGCTAGAATTAAAAATTCACACTCAGGTTCAATCTTGATCACACAAGTCTCTGGTTCTGCTGTAACCCATTGCTTGAGATGGGAATCTCCAATTCCCCTCGAGACAGCTAAGGAACCCTGCAATCTCCATACGCCTCTAGAGCAATCTAAATAACCACCCTGCATACAAAATTACAGACAGAATAAGAGTGCATCACTTAAAGATCAAACTATGATAAGGAGTTAAATTTTGATCAGATAATTGACTTACAAGGCTTTCGATCCTGTCCTTCTCGTCCTCCCTTGAGGGGCGGTGGTCGGAAGTGAGCGCCTTAGCTTCACCGGAGAAGCTCATCACAGCACGGCAGTCGCCAGCGTTTGAGACGATGAGATCTCCATCTCTGACAAAAGCGGTAACGCAGCAAGTTCCTCCATTCGCGTTGTCCTTCAGGAACTCTACATCGGTTCCCAGATATCCATTTCTTACCGCTTCCTCTATCATAATACCACCTTCCTCTCCTCTTCCCCTCATCGCCTCCTTCAATATACGATCCCCGAGATTTTTAGATGCAAATTCGGAGGCCTTTGATCCCCCGTGACCATCGAAAATACCAAATATCGCCTGCAAATCGCAAAACCCCGTTAAAATCAATCTTTAGAATTCGAAATCATTAAAGAAATCATATTTTTATCTAATTCACAAGAACTAGAAAGGGAAAAGAAACCCTACCATTTGGGGATCTCCGACCAGATCTAGTGCCGCGCTGTATCGATCCTCCATCTGAATCCTCTTCCTCCCCCTCTTACAATAAACCGAATACCGCGCACTCTCTGCCTCCACCTCCCGCCGGCCATCGGAATACACCGGCGGCTCGATAGCCGACGATCCCAACATCGGAATATTCAATCGTGTGGGCCTCTTCCTCTTCAAAAGTGAAGTAGAAACACACACATTCGAGGCTGCAACCGGGGGTGAGCAAGAGCACGAAGAAGCAGCAGAGAGAGAAAGTGAGGTGGCTTCAGATTCGAAGGCCGGAAACGGAGGAGCGCAGAGCTCCTTAATGATTCCGAGGCAACTGGCCCCTCGCTGGAACCTCCGCAAAGGCGAAGAAGATGAAGCTGGGGACGACAAACAATCGGCTAACGCAGTGGAGAATTGTTGTCGGCTGAAGGTTAGAGTTCTCGGCGAGGTCTTGCAGGTGACAGTAATCCTCGACGGTGAGAAAACCGGCGAACTTACAGCGGCAGTCATCTCTGCCACTAGAAAATTTTTAGCTCTTTTTCTGTAATGGAGAAAAGGAATGCCTTTTTCTCTGCTGTTACTTCAGGCCGGCCTTTTATATGGCACAAGGGTCGTTATAATGTTCCTCAAAAATGCTTATTAAGCTGCTCCATCGGAATAAGAAAAATCTAAATAAAGATTTTGATTTGCCTAAGGACAGTGACTCATGTTAACAAAATTAAAGATAGCGAGGAGTAGAAACGGCCTCTACTGTAAGCAGCGCGTGACACCGAAAAGGGGTGTTTTTTCTGCTATATGCCGTCCTCGAAAGCCCAAGCGAACCGCACCACACGCCGGTTCAGATCAACTGCTCCAAGCAGAACACAAAACACCCCAATCCTTTTAAATTCCCCATAGATTATTTTAAAAAATCTAATTATGGTGAGTTTATTTTTATATAAATGTTTTTAAAGAATATTATTTTAAAAAATATATATGAATAATTTTTTATGTCAAAATTAAATTATTTGGAAGCGCCAATTTCCTATCTAAAATTTTCATGACTCCTTGTGATTTAATCCATTTATTGTAAAATCAAAAGCAGTTTATGTTTATGGCAATTTTTAAATTTAAAAATATTTTAAGAGAGTATTATGGTGTGTGGTGTTCGGTTGAAAGAGGTGAAGAGTGAGATTGGAAGAGGTTCCGAATCCCAGTGGAAGGACAGCTAGAAGAACGTGTTATTGAAAATAAGAGAAATTCAACTAGAAGATGATAAGTCTATGGCGGAACTGAAGAAAGGTACTTCCACTGAGAGGCCGACGAATGTCACACGCATGCTTAATTGATCAATTAGCTGTAAAAAAGCTAATTAAATTAAGCCGAATTTATTATAGATTAAATTTAATTTTATAATACTTTAAACTATTTAGGTTGAACTTAAATTTCCTCTGAACTTTTAGAATGCAACAGAAACTAGGCTTTCAATTAAAAGCACATGGGTTCAAGACCTTTTAAAATTTATGAATATAATTTGTTAGCTGGAGCGCGATAGGATTTTTCCGCCAATCCGGCCTTCCTGCTCCCGCTCGATCACGAAACCACTCCCATTAAGCCGAATATATTATAGAGTAAATTTAATTTTATAATACTTTAAACTATTTAGACTGAACTCAAATTTCCTCTGAACTTTTACAATGTTACAGAAATTAGGCTTTCAATTAAAAGCTCACGGGTTCAAGACCTTTCAAAATTAATGAATATAATTTGTTATCTGGAGCGCGATAGGATTTTCCGCCAATCCCGCCTTCCTGCTCCCGCTCGATCACGAAACCACTCCCTTCTTCGCCTGCTCCCGCGTCCGATCGCGAAAGGTCATGACCGCGACCCTGTTATTTCGCGAAATCACTCATGCCTCTCTATTTCTCAAAATATTGTCTCTCCCGCGATAAAAGGTATCGCACGGCTCTCCTTCAGTTTTAGAAGTCACGTCCTTTATGTTCTTCTTTGGACTTCCACGGGACAGTGGAAGGACTTCCACGGGAGAGTGGAAGAGAAGTGCTGGCAGCAGTTACTTGCGGTAGAAGGAAAAAGAAAAAAGAAGAAGATTATTATTTTCTCTTGGCTTCTTCTTGGGGGCTTTTGGACGAAGAGCAAGTAGGTTGTGACAGAAGAGAAATTAGATTTATTTTGCTTGTAAGTTTATCTTTTTCGGTGTACCTCGGTGTAAAGTTTCTTTAGTGTATCTCGGTGTAGAGAGAGAAGAAGAGAGAGAGAGAGAGAGAGAGAGAGAGAGAGAGAGAGAGAGAAGAAGAGTAGAGAAGTGAGAGATTCTTTTTGTAAGCTGAAACTATCTACTGGTGTAATTCTTCAAGTAGTAAAATCATCTGCAACTCCATGGACGTATACAATTTGCCGAACAACATAAATCTGTGTGTTTTGCTGTGTTATTTTGTGTTAATTTTATCACTCTATTTTTCAATTCACTGATCGTTCTCCTATTTTATTTCCATATATATACCACAACAACTAGTATATATTCCACAACAACATTTGTGATTAAATTTTTCCCAAACATATAGTATATATGTTTAACTTATTTTGTCTGAGTAACTAAATTGAATATTTACTTAAATAAACTAATAAATAAGTTAAAATTTTTGAAAAAAAATGAATTTATAGCTCAATAAATTTGAAACCATTATTTGAATAATTTACTTCAATAATATATAATAAAAAGGCTATAAATAGGCTTTATTGCAGCTATGCAGCAAAAATAACCATCATCAAACTTGTAAATTGAAATAAATAAAAAGAAAGAATTATATCAAATCGAAGTATGCACCTCTACTAATAACATATTAATTAAAATAAAAAACAAAAGGTTGAAAAATATAAATATTAAAAAAATAAGAAGCATTCAAACAAGCATTCAAACAGGATGTGCTTATACCAACATATCAAAATGATTGCATTACTTTGAGCTTATATAAGATGAAATAAGTTACTGCAGTTATGAAGATTAATAAAATTTAAACTCTTTATACTAATTAATTGTAGAAATGTGAATCCCTCCTTCAAGCTAGTTTTGTTAACTTTAATTTGCCCTTGAAAGGAGTTCATTAATACAAAACCCATTTAAAGTGGCATAAATCAATAAGCATGTCTTTATCAACATGTGTCCAAGCATGGTTTACATTATTCTGGACAAGTTGCTTGATAATAACTCATCCTACAAATTAAACTGTCATTTCACTTCTTAATTGCAACTGTTTGCCACCACCATCGAAAGTTAGAAGTTATATAAGAAATTAAGAAAAATATTACAAAATTTATTTGCAAAAATAGCTAACAAGAAAAATATGCTTCCATGCTGATAAAAATAAATAGATATTGTATAGAAAACTTACATAAAATAATCTTACATCCGAATATTGCATACACAAAATTACATTCCTTTCATTTAAAAAGAACTTAATTACAAATCATTTGAATTATATTATATCCAAGAAGTTTAGATCATAGATGTGATAATATAATCATACCTTCAACTCTTGTTGTAATACTCATGAAAAATTGATAACATGGATGTCCTATTTAGTCAAAAGTGAAATAACACAATCCAAAGATAGAAGAGATAAATTATGAAAAATTGATAACATGGATGTCCTTTTTAGTCAAAAATGAAATAACACAATCCAAAGATAGAAGAGATAAATTAGAAAGATAACAGAATAATATATGACTATTTTTTTAGTTTTATCATCATTTCTTAGCAAGTAATTTTCAAAGATGACAATTTGAACGCATATTGTACCCAATGATAAATGATATGTATATTTAATTTGTTCAATAGCACTAAAAGTGAATTCTAATGCAATAATAGTTTAAAAAATTTAAAATTTTTTTACCAACAATTGCAAAAATATAATTGAAATATAAATTTCTTAGTTTTCCACCACTCTAAAGCATTAAATTGATCATCATTATTAATCCTAATAGAAATATAAATACATAACTCCAAGTACACATCAAATTTAGACCTTACATTCTTAATGACATCACTTCATAGAAATTTTTTATTTTGTTTTTTACATTCACAAAAAGCTTTCCTCTTATAGTAAAAAGTTTTAAATATTTTTTGCATGGCCAACAAATTATCTATTACATAACTCTTGTACTGATTAACCAATTGTTGTTCTAAGTCTCAACGTCATTATTAGGAAGAATAATAAAGAATGTAATGTTGATCAACTTCATCTTGATTTTTTGATCAAGTACATTAACAACATGGCTTGAAAAAATTAGATTATTTTTAATACTTTTCATTGTTTTTTATCTTCAATGAATTCAACCTCAACAACATTAATAAAAATTTGATCCATAATAGATTCTATAATTATAAAAATAAATAATAAATAAATTTGAGGTTAGTTATGTGTTTAGTTTCTCTAAAAAAAATTTACTTTGTCAATGGATCAGGAGGGATCGTTTGAGTCAAACCAGGAGGCCCCGGAAGAAGAGTCGGGACGATGTCCTAAATGAGTTGGACTTATTGGCGCTGGTCCATCGGCCCAAAAATCTTGCTTCAATTAAGGTTTGAGATGGATAGGCTTCTTGTATGGAGTTTTCTTGCTTTTGTTTTTTAGACTTTTCATTCATTATATTTTTCTCCTTTGCTTTGAAACAAAGGAGGCTCAGATGGTGAAGGCATTGTAGAATCTTTCAATCTAGGTTTTGGTCAACCTCCTGCAACTTAGAAGATTTTGTTTTCTTTCTATTTTTTTGCTCAGCTGAAAGCTGAAGGATTGTAAACTAAATTTTTGTAAATTTTTTAAGTATGGAATATGAATGAAACTATTGTGAGATATGTACTTCCTGACGTAAAAATGAAACGCAAAGAACACAAGCAAACACAGATCTTTTACGTGACTCGATCCAACTGCATCTACGTCCACGGAAGGGAATTAATCAAATAGTTCACTAAGGCAAAATAAATGGAGAATACATAGCTTATACATAAAGATGAGCCATCATCTTTCTTCTATGGCCTCCCTCTCAAGCGACACCTTAATACAAGGCCTCAAGATGCTCTCCTCCTCTCTAGCTCTCTGGCTATTCTCTCCTCCTTTGTGGTAGCTTAATATCTCTTCCATTGCTCTCCTAAGCCTCACACCCTCTTTATTTATAGAAGCAAGAGAGTGGTAGGTGGGAGGTAGGTGAGCAATAGGTGAGCAGTAGGTGAGATGTGGTAGGTGAGCGGTGCCACATTATAAAAGTGTCCTTTTACCTTAGTTCAATAATTGGGGGTCAAAATAACAATTCTCCACCTTGACCCTCAATTGAGAAGCTTCGAAGTAAAGATTCCCTCGGGCCCTCAGCCCTTGCTTGAGTTCGCTAATTCCAAACTATGCATGGACTTAACAATCACGGTTCTTCCGATAAGAGAGTACAACCCCTTTTTCCTGACTCCTTGTATGACGAAATGAGGGCATTTGGCTTTGGTTACTCTGATGTAGCCATTCTCTGGCTTGAACGAGCATCTGCTTGACTCCAACGTATCTAAAGAATAAGATTT